TGAAAGAGCCATCCTTCAACAGGGGATGGGGAATCTTTACGTCTCTTCCTTCATACTGAGTAAAATGCTCCCAGCAATCATCAAAACTGCATTTCAAGTCCCTATAGGATGGATAATACTAGACACTTATGTTAGTGCATTTGAAGCACTACTTGCAGCGCCCTGTATCTACAGAGAAATGGGTAAGGAGGGAATGAGTGGGCTTCTAGTCGTCTTGAAGATCGTCTTAGCCGGCATTGGACAGCTCCAGACCCTCGATGCTACCGCATTACACGACGAGTATATTTACACACTTATCCAAACCATACATCTTCTCAACTTGCTCTCGCCGTCATTGACGGCATTTTTAATCAATGAGCCGACTTCCGAGATAGCAGTCGATATTACAGAAACAGTTGAGAGTTTTACAAATTTTACACGAGAAGCTGGAAAATACGTTTCCAATCTTCTCAATAACCAGAGTTACGGGGCATCTTTAGACATACAGGGCCCAGTTACTATGGATTCGAATAGATTTTTTCAAGGTCTCCGAGGACAGGGGGTCGGTTTCTCAGTAGAGCCTGAGGAACACATCACGAGATTCGCAAATCACATGGTACGAGATATCAACGAGAATTGGGTGTCGAACGGTTCGACTATCAGTGTAAAGGGGCCATCTAGAGCGCAGGGGCATACATCGACGCAGTCCGGACAGGGGACTCTGGTACCGAGGTGGGACTCGAGGAGGCTGATACAAGCTCTTAATAAAGAGCTTCAGGAGTGGAATTATGCTAACGATTTGGCGGCGGCGACTTCAAGACTCGCTGTGTTGCCACTTGACGAATTTCTATTCTAGTATAAATGTATCTAGCGTGGCGTTGGGGCGGGGGATAATAGCCTCGGACGTTAAAGAAATGAATTATTTTTTTTTGGATTATTACAATGTAATGTCGTAGAAAAGGGAATAATACCATGTGATGTCAATAGGGGTAGGTACCAGGTAGCAGATGTCTATGTACAAGGTACCTAGGTAGGTGACAAGGTACAAGGTACATGGTACGTACTACTATGGGGCGCAACGCTTGGGCCACGGCAAATTCCGAAGTTTTCTACGTCAGCCAACATCGAATTTCCAATCGCCCTTTTTACAATATCGCAAGCTATGCATTCGCCTGCTCATGCTGAGCGCCAATTCTCCGAATGCATACTCGTTCGCTACGTGCCTTTCGCTTAGCGGCACTTAGCTTACAGAAACCTCCATTAGCGACATATCCTAGTCGACTTTTCCACGTCTCTACCCCTGTCAGAGCTGTCGATGATGGTAATACCGGGCCCCGCGATGACGGAAGTAAACCCGAAAAGGAGAACGGAGCTGGAGAGAACGATAATGGGGACGAAAACTTATTCGGAGAGAATACTTCGACGACGGACGGGAAGAGTCAGGGTCGGAAGAGGCCCGGAAGTGGCTCCTTGAAGTCTCGTATTACACGCAATCGGAGACCTGAAGAGCTGCCCCCTGTCCATGTGCCCAAGTCGTTTCTTTCCAAGGCTATTAGTCGTTCTGGAGATACGGAGACGCATTCTGGACTTAGCAAGATTAGTGAGAGGGATGCGCGTATTATGCTGGAGGATGCATTATTCCATTCGCCAAAGGAGCGAATGCTGGATGCGCATCTCGCTTATTTAGTCGAAGCCACGACATGGACCGATGAGACCCTAGCTGAAGTTCGACAAATCCTAGACTCTAATCTAGATACGGACTTGATACAAAGAAAAGGGAATGTCTTAATTGCTGCCGCTTTCTGGGCCGCAGTCACGTCGGCTCGGACGATACACGGAAAGAAGGCGGTCGATCAGTTGCATGAGCAGAGTCCGGTTTCAAATTCGGGGGACCTACTCACAGCCCTCACATACGGAAGGCTATTTGCCACGGGAGAGGAGCTGCCACAGCTAAGCCATGCTAAACAAATAATTGACAATGCGTTGAACGACTCCCCTCTGGAAGCGTCCACGGTTAGCTGGTTTGAGGAGGAACTAATCGAGGATATTGTAGCCTCCGTCAACGCGGATATGTTAATACAAGCCCCAGAAAATGTCAAGCTCGCAGATTTACGACGGCCTATTACAATCATCAATACACCTGAAAGCTCGGGGTATTTTGTACCTCACGACATCTTATGCCACGTTGCTACTAAATTAGAAGCTGATGTCCTACATCTAAAGGCTTCTGACATTGCGTACATCGTTGGTAATTACCTTGGCCAAGATGCTGTAAGAGCGCCCGGCGCGATATCACAACTAGGATATAAGGCCGCGGAGAATAGCGGAAGATTAAAACAAAACCGCCCCGCTGAGGAAGCGGACGAATTCGAGGATGCCAGGTTGCCTTTCATCGTGCGTGATGACGGACGTAGGAAAGAGAGCAAGAATTACTTAGTGCTAATGGACGAATACTTAAACGGATCAACCCGAAAAAAAGACGACGATCTCTGGAAGGACCTCAAAGTGAACACGGTACTAGAAGAGCTTGTCCACTGCGCCGATTCCGAGCCTCCCGAGCAGAGGCCGCTCATCGTTCATATTAATGACTATAACGCTATCAATATGGATACGGCATGCGGTGCCATGATCATAGCCAAACTTCGAAAAACCGTGGATGCACTCTGGGCCGATGGTCGAAAAATCGTGCTAGTCGGGTCTTGTTCAACTAAGGGCGCGCCGAAGCCTTATATTAGCAACCTCAGAGAACTTGAAGCATCAGAGCGCGTGATTACTCTCCGTCCAGCCACAGAAGAATCTATAGCGCGGAGCGCACTGGCAAGCGGAATTATGTCCGGTCCCGCAAGCGTAATGGTAAACAAAATCATATCCGGAGTTAGCAGTGCGATGGCAAGACGAATCATGCTTGAGAACAAGCGCCAATATCTAGAAGCAAGGGATTTTATAAAAGAAAACGAGGAGAATCTTGTGAGAATATTATTATCCATGATTGAGCCTCCCTCCGAATCCCCAATAGCGACGACCGGGGAGATCAAGTTGAGTCAAATAGACTACAGAAAGCTACCAGAGTCATGGACGAAGAGCATTTTGCCTCTTAACGAAGTATATCGCATTGCAACCATGATGATTGGCTACTCTAAGGACCCGAGCGATGTATTTAGCATTGAATCCTTGGAACGAGTTGTCGACGTAGTCGAAAGGCATGAGAAGTTAAGAGACAGATACGCCAAGATTACAGCGGCAGGGGAAAAGAACCAGCGAAGAGAATCAAAAGAGTTTGTCGACGCACGAAAGCTCCTCTCTTCAGAAGAGAATCACGAAGAGGGGCTCGAGTCAGGTCTTGTGAATGCACAGGACATTCGCACTACATTTCAGGATGTCCATGCACCGAAGGAGACGATCGAGTCGGTTAAGATGCTTACCACACTTTCTCTAATCCGCCCCGAGGCTTTCTTCTATGGTGTCCTTGCTACGGATAGAATCCCGGGGTGCCTTTTATACGGACCTCCCGGTACAGGCAAGACGCTATTGGCGAAGGCGGTGGCTAAGGAGAGCGGAGCAAACATGATCGAGATCTCGGGTGCATCTATCAACAACAAGTTCGTCGGCGAAAGCGAGAAGAACGTGCGGGCCCTGTTCCGGTTAGCTAAGAAGAAGGAGCCGCTAGTAATCTTCATCGACGAAGCGGACGCGCTTCTCGGCGCCCGAGGCAGACGTGATTTAGGCTCCCGACGCGAGACAATCAACCAATTCCTACGCGAATGGGATGGGATGGACAAGACGAAGGCTTTCATCATGGTCGCAACGAACCGGCCGTTCGACTTAGACGAGGCTGTGCTCCGACGACTACCCCGTAAGCTACTAATCGACCTCCCGCTCGAGGCCGACCGCGCGGCAATCCTCCGAATCCACCTCAAAGACGAGGTCTTGGACGAAGAATCCGTCTCAATCGAAAACATCGCCAAGCGCACGCCTCTATACTCAGGCTCCGACCTCAAAAACGTGTGCGTGGCAGCGGCCATGGCGGCGGTAAAAGAGGAGCTGGAGCTGGAGAAGCAGCAGCAGCAGCAACAAGAAGAAGGCCAACCCGAGGCGAGTGTTGGCGAAGGCATGAAGAGGCGCGTGCTCGCGGCCCGGCACTTCGACAAGGCGCTGCAGGAGATCGGGGCTAGCGTGTCGGAGGACATGGCGACGCTGACGGCGATCCGCAAGTTCGACGAGAAGTATGGGGATGGCGGGGCTGCGAGGCATCGTAGGCGCAAGGGTATTGGGTTTGGGGTCGTGCCGGAGGCGGTGGATGCGTCGGAGGCTAGGGTTAGGAGTGGGAGGTGAAGGGGGGTGGTTGGTTGGCTGATAGGTAGGTAGGTCACTGCGGGTCGTGTATAGGCTTAGGTAGGCTATGGCTAGGGGCGAGGCTAGATGTTGTCTGTATATTACATAGGCAATATGCTGGCCTTACGATGGATCTAGTGTGTATATTGGATTACTGACAGCCTGGCTTTGTGCCCTTTACCCCTATTCTTCCCCATCTTGCGGTTTTAAGGTCCTGGTTCTTTCCCCCCTTCTGCTCCAGTTCATACTATTCCCTACTAACCTCTTCATGTGGCTTACCTTCAAGTTTTTCGTCCCACTGTTGGCAGCCCCTATCTTCCGGCCCGCTGCTTGTAGACCTCATGTCGTGTAACCCCAGAAGCAGCCTCATCTCTCCATCTCTGCTTCCACCCTATTTTGCGTATGCCTTATAAGCCGGGCGACTTGGGGGCCGCATATTTGACCTATCACCTCATGCCTTCGCCCATTCACATCTGTTGTTCGACATGACTTCCACCCTATTTTTTATGTACCTCCTGCACTGCGTCTTAAAGCGGCACTACGATCCTGTAGCGCTGAAGAGAAATATACCGCTTCTCCCACGTCTGAGTAGACCCCTTTTTCCTCCAGCAACTGCGCCGTCTCTCCAATCAAATCCTCCTATCGTTCTTCTAAACTTCTTGCCCCTTTAGCGAAGCTACATCGCCAAGATGCCGGACTACCTGAGCAACTTGAACCCCGATGCGTTGGGTATCGACGAATTTGCCTCTCGCCTCGATGAGTTGGACAACATGTATCCGATTGGCTAAGAAGAGCAAAACCTAGCTCTCGGCTCCAACATCGATTTCTCCCAGCTGCCTGATGCTACTGCAGCTGCCGTGGAACCGTGAGACTTTTTTTTTTTAGCACTTGCTAACAAAAAGGGTGAAGTGCTGAATATCAACCAAATGGTTCTCAGCTTCATGATGAGTCGGCCGGAAACCACCAATTTAAATTCGATTGTGCTACAACACTCTCAATACCTATGATCAGTGAACCGTACCTCAGACTCTCGATCACAAATCTGGAAGAACACGGAACCTTTGAAGCACCAAGAGAACCAGCTACTCGGCTGGAGCAAAGCCTACATCCCGGGAGCTGCAAAGCTGATCCAGTCACACCCGAGCATCATCCAGTTCTCGGACCTTCCAAGTTTTCATGCATCCAATGCAATACGTCGTTCGAAACCCATGCTGAGCTTAGTAACCATGCCTTGGTCTCACAGCATAACCCTGTTGCATGTTCGTGCGGAGAAAGGTTTTCGCGTCCTGATGCTCTAAACCGACACTGTAATTCCTTTCGCAAAGACAACCGTTCTTATCCGTGTAACTTCTGCAAGCGCCATCGCGGTAGGAAGGCGTTCGGTCGACGAGATCATCTTGTCCAACACCTTCGCGGCTATCACAAATTCGACCAGGAGGAAATTGACAAAAGTTGTCCCAAATATTTATTTAGTCGCCAAAGATACCATCAGATTCTAGTATGTCCTTATGCCGAATGTGAATATCATCGAGGCGAGGAGTTCAAAAGTTCCACCTGGTCTCGGTTTACCACCGACGCTCCTTTTAAGAACCAATCCGACTATAAACAGCACCTGAAAGACGTCCATGAGGATACCCCGTTCCCTTGCCACGTCGATGGGTGCGACCGGGTTGGCCGCAGAGGCTATATGCGTGAGAGGGATCTAATGAAACATTTAACCAGTCAACACCCAGATGCTGCCGAGTATTCACCGGCTCCTCGAGAGAAGACTGTATACGAATGCTGCGATTGCGGGAGGCGCTATACAAGCGCAACTGGATTTAAGTATCATCACTGCAGACCGGACTCCAAGGAGAACTAGGTAATTTACCTACCTAACTCTACCAAGCTCTCGCACGGCCGAGATTCGTGTGCCTTGCGGACGGGCGTGTTAACTCCCGAATGATCTCGAAAGTTTCCATTCTTCACTTGATCTCCATCGTCATGTTATCAATTATTTCCAGGTTACGATATTATCCACACCCTTATACTCCAGGTATATCGACGTTTGTTTTCACAATCTTGAGTTACATTTTTCAATAAGATGCACAGTCGCTGTTGCGGAGCGTCATGGAAATAGTTGAATGTAAATTTCCTATATACCTATGTTTCGTTTTGTCTTTTCTTCTTTTCTCTCGTTACATTTAACATTTACTATTTTCTATGCATACCGAACTGCTTTCTCATGTACGCGAATTATGATCTCTCTTACTCTTTGATGTCGCTCGTTAGTTTAGCTACTTATCGTACGAATAAAGCCTGTTATTCTTTTATAATTATGATATGCGTAATTTGTAGTCTTATAGTTTTGAAGTCTTTGGTTAAGTTGAGCTTACTCCATATCAGCCTTCTATTCAATAGTATCCGCTCTCTACATAGTAGGTAGAAATGACCTGATAGTCCCAGATACATAGATACATGACATAATCTATTCTTTTTTGATTTTGACCCCTATGACTTTGGCTCTTAAGCTAGAGAATTAGTTGCTGTTATAGATAAAGGTAAGTTTATGTCAGACATCAACCACGAAATATTTCTTATCTCCATATACAAATTCGGGCTTAATTCTAATGCTTCTTATCGGATATGCCTACTATTATAATTTCTATTACAATACCCAGGTCGTCATCTTTCACTCTTCATCCACAACTCGTATTATGTCAGGATATATACAAGAAGGGCTAGCCTAGAATAGGCGTAGATCTACGTCGTAGAGGTACGTATATAAGGGGCACTGCGCGCCTTCAAAAGAGGATAGAAAGTTAAAGCAGTAATAGATTCATACTACTACACGGCTACTACACAGTAGCTTCGCTGCTGCTTCTAACATTCACTCTACGTACCTAATGCATACATCAAGGGTCCTTAAGGGGGAGAGAGACACGGTGGAGTACCTTATAGATGTTTTGGATCAATCAAGTTACATGGATTTTGAGAAGTTGACCCGCCGCGCCTCCCTCGCAGTTGAGGACATAGAACCGCAGCAGCACAACCTAATTATTAATAAGAGCCGATTTATTCTTTACAGTATGCGGGTATTTAATATGGTGAAGCTACGTAGTATCCTCATGAGAAGCTGTGAATTTAATAAGCTAACTCTACCAAATCCAATACTCCAGCTAGACATCAACCACTAGCGATAGTCTTCTTCAGTAATAGCCACATTTATTAAACTTCATCCACATCTGCGTAATTTCGCAAGCTTCGGGATTCGAAAGACAAGGTGCATGAAGCCCCGGGTCTGTATCCCGCAAGATGATCTGGATTGAACAGTGCTTAGTGTGTTCGGGATCGAGGATATCGTCATCCAGTGGCTTCTGGGCGTGGAAAGCGGCATCGAATTTGCGCCACGAGTACGAACAATGGTACATGTGCCATGCCCAAGAGCCCCAAGCACCGTTATATTGGCCGCGGACCCAAGTGTCCCACGATAGCTCCTCCTCCGGCCGAGTCTCGTTGTTGGGGAAGAAGTGCCATTCGAAGATGCCCAAGAAGTCGTTTATTAGCTCGGCGTTGTAGCATTCGGGTCTCTGCCACGCCCAGGACATCGGGTCGAAAATGCAGCCGAGCGACTCGGCTTCTTTGATGGAGTGGCCGCAATGGCCGAACTCTTCGCCCGTCGGCTTGGAGGGTTTTACTTGTGCCGCGGGAGCCAACGCCGAAGCAGTCTCGAGGGTTGAGACTTTTTCTTGGATTTCGTTGAGGATAGAGTCTAGTCGCGCTGCGTTGGCGGAGCATACGGCGACGAGGGCCATCCCGAGGAAGATTGATAATATCGTAGGGATATAGAAGAATGGTGAACCCCATGGCCGCCGCCTCTTAGAGTAGGCGCCGAGGTCTTCGCAATCCAGCGACTGTGTATCGCTCTCACTTAGGAGACCTTCATATTGCTCTTTGTCTTGTATTTGCGACGTGCTCTGCCCCCTGGCTGGCACGCCGTTCGGCTTATTGACCGTGCTCGCCATTTAGGAGGAGATGAGCCTTCCACTGCACGAATATAATAGGTATTTCCCAGCAGGATGAAGATTATTGAGAAAAGGAGATGTAGCTAGGCGGAACTGACATAGCTAGCGTATAAAGCCTCTGGATGAATCGAAGGGGCCTATGATTTGTCAAACGCTTAGCAGCCGAAGTTGGACATGGTCTTATTCTCTATCCCCCCATAACCCTCGTGCCGGAAGAGGGGGAAATCCTCCGTGATGTTAGTCGAGGGCGACTTTCCGGTCTACCAACATGCAGCACGGAACCATGGTCTTATCACGACATATTACTAGTTTCCCTGCTTTACCGCACGTTCGATGAATATCCCATGACCCCATATCCGTTCCCAACTATGCCATCACGCTAAGATGTTCCCAAAATGTTGATCTCGCAATGAGTCCTTTGCTACCTGCCGGTTGTGAACGGCACTTCTTAGCGATGGTTAGGAGCAAAAGCGGCGATGTGGCCACCTGTGAGGCGCGGAATCATACCTAATGTTTGCTTGATAGCTCACATGCGCAGAGCTTACATGTAAGGTAGCCCCAGCGTCATAGATTCTAATAGTATGACTAAAATCCCGTGGTGGAGAGCGAGTCCGCGCAGGTAGTGGTGAGGCACAGCATTGATGCAGGTCGCAGAAAGCTTAGCCTTAAATCTCCAATATAACGCCAGAATCAAGAATGGAAACCCAAACCTAAGTCTATAAATTCCGATTGGTGCATTGGCAGTAAGGTGGATCACCCTTCTACGCGTATACCCTATAACGCGCCATATAATTTTTATTAATTAAAAAGATGTAATTGATTTATTTATTAATTTAATTTTTTATATAATAAGATTTTTTTATTATAATTATTAAAATATTTTTATATTATTAAATTTATTAATTTTTTTTTTTTAATAATATATAATTTTTAATTTAATTTTATACGATGGTTATTATTTATAACGTTAAAAGTAAACGGTTTATTTATAATATATTATAATATTATTAAATTAATTATTATTATATTAATTAATATATAAAAAATATATTAATTAAGGAAAATATTAATAAAATTTATTAAAAATTATTTAAAATTTAAGAAAATTATTTAATTTATTAAATTATTATTTAAAAAATTTTAAATTATATATTATTATATTTTAAATTTAAATTATTTATTTAATATTTTTTTTTATATAATAATATATATTTAAATTTTAAAAAAAATTAATATATTAATTTTTTATATTATTATTTTAAAATTAAAAATATTAAAAATTATATTATAAATTATAAATATTTAAATAATATTATAATTAAATTATTAAATAAATTATTTATTTA